CCCTCATTTCCGTTGTCGATGATAATGTAGTTGAACTATATTTTCAGTTCATAATACAATTTCATAATCTGCGATAAATTAATGTAAAGGTCAAAAACCTGTGTGAATCTAGATTACTCAATAATAAAAAAATCCTGCTTATGCTATATTTTTTAAATTATAGTTTAATTTTCCTTATTAAAAATCTGATGTTATGCCATACTTCTTAGTGGCCTCCTGGCTGTTAATATTGATTACCTTTATAACTAAACGTTAAAATAAAGATCTATTGAGAATTCAATTTAAGATTTTACTGTCTTTTCTCATCTTTAAATATTAATTCTCGAAAAACACCTTATTTTGACTAGATTATAAATTTATTATATTATTACTCTGACGCATAATTATTCCATTTTCTTTCTATTGCCACTTTGACATGTTCACGAAGGAAAAATCGTCACTTGCGCGAACAATCCGTGCTTGAAGAAAACAATAAGAACACGCTGTATAGAGTGACACGTTCATCGCGGTTAGATAATCGCTCGCGAAAACGATTTTTACAAAGCTCCGAGACGAGCTCTGGGAAGGATCGGCGCCTTAAAAAAAACAGGTTCGTTAAGTTTCTTGTCTCGATCCCACCCGCGCGTCAGACACAAAAAAGGGTATCCCTTTTTCTTCCATCCTGCCTTTCCTCTCTCTATTCTTTACCGCTTCGCGCGCGTTCTCTCTCTCTCTTTTTTTTCCCTCTCTTTCTTTCTCTCGCTCTCTTCCTTTTTCTTCCTTCCACTGGCACTGTCGTTCGTCCGCCAGAAACGGGAAACGCCTAAACTATCGATCGAATTACATAACTGCAGGCGGGGGCCAGTAATCTCGTTTTTATAACGAACTTCGCCGCGCAAGTGAAATGTCCCTGAGATCGTTATAGACGTTATAGACGTTATGAGTTGTGGCTTTTCTGAACGTTCGAAAGCGCAGCTTTTAGCAGGGAATGCTGAACATCGATACTGAGTACCGACAAGTAATTACGATCGGTAATTACGGCGCTATCACATATCTTGACTTATGAGAATTAATAAAACTTAGAAAATAGTGCGAAGTAAATTTTTTCAACTTCTACTATTTTACTATTATTCAAAAATAATTCTTCTCGCTGCCTGTTCACAGAGAGAGTTTACATATCAAGTTTACATATCTACTTTCGCGCCCGCGTAGTTTTTTTTTTATTAAATATTATTGCAGTTTTTTTGAAAAGTCGCTACGTGGCACGGGCACTTCGTATTTTACAACAGAAGGTTTTACAGCACAGAGAGAGAGAGAGAGAGAGAGGGAAAGAGAGAGTGAGATATTTATATTGTACTCTTTTTTTACTTCCCGGGATCGTTACTTTTCTTGGAGCATCGATATTTATCGATATTTACAGATTTTGATATCAATGCCCCCATTCTTCGCTCGGCGCGCGGAATTTCCCGTTGCGATAACACATCGTGTGTTTCGCTTATCTTGCAAGCGCTTTCGAGAACTTTCCGAGTTTTCTGAACTCGCGCTTGCTGATTCGCGAATATCGGCATAATCCGCGGAAGATGGAAATTCCGAAAAACCGGCGCTATACGATAAGTAAATCCCGTCTGACTTTACCTTCACACGTTGTAAAGTCGATTTTCTAGAATCTAGAATATATGCAAAATAATGGAGCATTACTTATTCGATGTCTGGGACAGATAACGTAATCTAAAATGTAAAATACGAGCATATAGAGAAATATTCTTTCTCCCGACGCGAAATAGTTACGGCTACTTTTTTTTCGCATCAAGATTTCCGGATGCAAAATGGTAAAAACGTTGTTTTTATGCGAAAGTCGCTTAATTGTAAAAATCGTAAAGATTAAAATTTCAGAGTATCAGCGTGATTTTTCGCAAACACCGATTCGGCCTCGCATCGACGTTTGCGCCGCGGGCAATACTCGTCATTACGACTCCGTCCGCCCCCGTCCATCCACCACTCGCGATACGCTTTTATATCGATTCATATAAATAACTGGAATAATGTCCGGTCGAATAAATATTTATTGCGCGCCATTACGAATGTAAATTTCCGTCGGTATTCCGCGTTTCGCTGCCGCATTTCGCCGTAAAGCGTCTTGGGATCGATCGCGCGCCTGTCATGCTTCCGCGTTCGCTGTAAAAAGAAAAAAAAACAGAAAAAACAAGAAAGAAGCGACGGGGAACAGAGGGCGGCCGGGGGAAGAGACCGACGAGGGAGATCGACAAATTTGACGAAGCACCCCTTTTCCGCGCAGGCAGGGTCGTTCTCTCCGCCGCGCCGGTTTCTTCCATTTATATTTCTTTTTTTTTTTTTACTCTTGACGAAAGACGAAGCGCCGTTATGCACGATAAAAAGTTTAATGTCAGAAGACGTCGCGGACGGCGGGAGGGTTGGCTGGGAGGGAGGAGGAAGCCGGTGACGAGGAGAGGGGGAGGGGGTGAAAGTGCCCGAGGATCGTAATGACTCGATATGAAACCCGGGCAGTGCAATTTCTTTCTTCTTCTGCCCTTTCCTCCCTCCCCCGCTCGTCTCGACGTCTTCCTCTTTTTTCATCGCAGTATTTCCCCATAAAAGCGCCCCGGCATAATAAAAAGCGTTATATAGCTGGCACTGAAAAGTAACGCGTCTATGCGTCTCTCGTCCCCCGTCACCCCGGCCCCTCCCGCCCACCCCCGCCGGCCGCCCCGCTCCGCCCGCGAGACGGTCTTTACGGCCTTATTTGCGGAGACGTAAAAATCGCGAAAATCAATACGGAACTTCTAACATTAAATATTCAGGCTATTGACTGGGCGGGGCCAAGTTATACGCTATAGTCCTTCGCGGTCCCTCCACGGCCCCTTCGTCCGCGACGGAAGGAACGACGAATTAGCGGGAAACTAAGGCTCGATGGATAAACGAGGAGAATACGGGACGAATACGCGGGAGGAAATAAAAGGGAGGAATATATGAACGGGATGGGAAAAAAGTACATGTGCTAATACACATGCTGAAGACGTCGTAATAGAGAGACGCCGCCGTTTGCAGAAAGAGATCAAATAGAACCTCTAATGTGTCTATTCTTGTATCGAGATCATTATTAAGTTGGAAAAAAGGAATGAAATTGAAAAAGATAAAGGGAGAAATTTTTCTTGCATTAAGATAAAATTTATAAGACATATTTGACTGTGATAACAATTAGTATTACGCGTTCTCTAAAATTGGCGTAGTTGGGAATTTCGCCTCGATTTATAAAAACTCGTGCCGTTATATTTTCTCTCTCTAACGAGGGTTACGCTATTAGCGAAAGAAACTCGTGCAACCGTCCGGAAATTCCCACGACATTCGTTCGCGCGCAGGGTCTCGTACCAATTTACCTATTCCCGTTCCGTGTGTTACACGGCAATACGCGCGGCGACATCGGCCAATTAGCATACAAAAGAGGTGCAATTAATCGAAGGTTGCGACGACAACAACACATACGGTTGAATAAGATCCAACGATCGCTCGGAGCGATTCGTGACACAAAAAGTCGATCGAGATAGGAAAAATCTCTACTCGCACACTCGCTGGAAACTCGAGTTCTGCGAAAACGGCAATACGCGGTAGAGAAACGCTCAATATTCCGAGTCGAGAGATAATCCTGCGCGCGATCTGAAAAAAAATTATGGAGATAGATATTCGGAAAATTAACGTCATGACAGCGCCGCTCTAGAATCGCGATATTACGAATCCATCGATCAAAGACGTACCACCACTTTGTATAAATTTTCATCGGAGGCGGGGATATCGCGCTCGGAAGGGTTATAAACGATATGCCACGCCGCGAACGGAGGAATTCTTAAAGGAGTATGAGGAAACCTCATTGACTTTCATGCCAGATATTTACGTCGGGTGGAGTCCGGGGGACGGTCTTGCAAAAATCCCCTGAATGTGCAGACAGGAATTCATATTTTATCGGGTGACGCGCGCCTCGATCCATACATTACGTTAGCACGCTCGTTACGCGACGTCAATACGACTTCCCGGACAATTCCATTTCGCCGGTAATTAATAATGATCGACGCGTCGCGGCCATACACCGCCGGCCGCGCGCCGTCGTCGTTGTCGTGTGGATCGGCGGCGCGGCGCGCGCGTGTCCTTACTTGCCGAAGCGAATAAATTGGATCGTGTTACGTAACGTGAAACTAAAGTGACGTTTACCGCGAGCTGCAGAAAAAAAAAGAGAAAAACAGATAGTGTTACATGTTTCTCTGTGCTAATTATAAATTCGACAAATTGCCCGAGATTCCGATTCCTGGTGTCACGTCCAGTGTCAATTAATGCAAATTAATCAGGAAACATTGAAATTGAAGCTTATACAACGACTTTTCTGATTAATAAACGATACTGCATCCATTTATGTGTGCCGTGGTAACGAAGTTACTTCCGCCGCGGTGAAATTCGACGCAACGCTACGCGCGACGACGGTTGTTTGCGGCAGCACGGCAACTCCAAAGTCCTACGATACGTCGTTTTATAGTTTCACATTGTGCGGCACGTTCACAATCAACCCTCGACTGATGTGATTAAATTTGGATAACGTAACTACGCGGCGGGATCAGTTTGACCTCGGTAAATAAATAAGCGTAATATCGCAAATTGAAAAGCGAATGCATTTTTCATTAACTGCGCGCATGTTGAGTGGAGCATTATAATGAATGCGCGCGGTTTCGTTAGAGCGTTAAAGGGAAAAGAGACGATAACGATGATACAGCATCTCTTTTCCTGACGTTCCGTGAAGCTTATCTTCGTTAGGCTTAGACTCCTGGTTCCGTCGCAATTAACCCGCCCGTTATCGATATGTCCGATATGAAACGCCTTATGCAGTTACTCATAACGCATGTAGAATTTAAATTGCAACTTATTTACTACGCGAGTTATTTACACGACTCCTTTCGCGCTGTCGCAGATAAAATCGCCGCATAAATGATTAACAATTGCGCCGACTCGCATGTTCGCAGGTTGTACTGTCGGCGTGTAGCACATACTTCGACACGATTCTATCGCAGTACGAGGAGAAGGACCCCATCGTCATCATGCGTGACGTCAAATTCTCGGACATCAAAGTGCTGGTTGAGTTCATGTACAAGGGAGAGATCAACATCGATCACGTGAGTGTTACAACTTTCTGTAAATGATTTTCTTTTCTTTACGTCTGCTTTTCGTATCGTTATCGATTCAAGCCGAGCAACCCGCTTGAGAAATTTATTCCAGAGAGAAAATTGAAGAAAAGATGTTATTTCTCGAATTATCATATTTAATGGAAATCTAAAAGGAGAGAAAGAGAGAGAGAGAATGAAAGAGAAAATTGAGAGAGAGTGAGAGAGAGTGTGAAAGATAAAACGGAAAAGGTCGCAGAAACGGAGATCTGGCTAGATTAATAGGATGGAGAGAGAGGTGGAGATATTTAGTTAGATTATTCTAAATTAAGTTAGTTGTAAATTAGATAAGTTGCGAATATATAGATATATGCTAGGGTAAGTTAGATTGTAAATAGAAATAGGCAAATGCGACGTGGTAATCTTATAAGCTGATTGGGAAGCAATAAAGATCATACAGAAATACGAAAAGTTTGCGAAGCAATTATATTCAAAAATAAATCACACGAATATATTCGTACAAAAGTTACAATGGAATTCCTAGGAGAGATTGACAAAGGAGATTGACGCGAAACGTAACGCTTATTGCATTTATAAGACCCGAATTAAATATTGTCGACCGTGATAATCTCTCTCTCTCTCTCTTTCTAAGCCATCTTGGATATATTTTCACTTCGTGCTCATTAATGTTGCTATTTGCGGCGGGCGTTTTATTACATCGCTGTGAAATAAAGTTAAGCAGTAAAACCCCGCCATTCTTCAGACAATAAATCCCCGCCTTCCTCAGCACTTTTCCAATAACAACAATTTCGCGTAGATAACAGCCGCCGCGCTCTGTGACAGCTATGGTTAACGAGAGAACTTTACGGTACCTATTATCTTGCAAAAAAAAACTAACGTTTCTCATTCGTACTGACGACAATCGTAAGTTCGAGTGCACCGAGACATGTTATGACAAGACCACCGTATATAACATGTCAAGAATATCGATCTGTCAGGATGAATTCCTAGTCTAAAAACAAAAAATAAGGAAACGCGGTGATATCCATTCAGGAAATCTATAAAAAAAGGCAGTTGCGTCCGACACTTTGACGATTTCAAAGTCGGTTTTTTTTATATGAAAATTTCGAGGTATATCTGCATAGAGATATTTAATATAAAATTTTATTTTTAATTAATTTAAAATGAATTTAAAATAAATTCTATTTTAATAGAGATTTTTTTCGGAGGCTGTTAAAATATTTAATGGTAAAAATTGAAAAATTGCTATAGAAACGTCATTTTTGCTAAGAAAAATCATTGGTTACCGATATGTCATTAAAATATAGTGTGGCCGTGTATACATATTATTTATACATAGGTACTTATAAAACGACAAGAGTCGGTAACCATACAGTTCGTATCATACATTTCGGTAATTGTTTTCTCATAATCCTTGAGACTTTTTAGTCGTGGATTAAAAAGAGTCTGCGGTTGGAGAATATAATAATAACGCTACAGATAATCCCCGAAAGCCCATTTATATTTATTCCATTGCACTGTTCCTTGCATCTGGTTTTATTAATGAGAACGGAGCGGACCGTTCCAGCATCTTGTTTGCGATATTATTATGTTTTCAATTTTTCGAGATTGCCCAGCGTATATTCAAGAAAAATATGCTCCCCCGAGATTTTTCCGAGATATCTCCAAATGGAGGGGTAAAAACCACAGTGGTGTAAGTCAAATTTTTTAAAAATCACATCAATTTTTTAAAAAATTTGACTTACACCACTGTGGTTTTTACCCCTCCAAATATTCTGGGGCTGCCTGCCTTGCATTATTAAACTACGATAATTCGACCAGTTTAATAGGCCCTTCTCATTGAAATTTTCGCGAGTTTAAAATCTATTTTCTTGAGATATGTTTCCGCGGTATATCTAACTTTTTTCTCTTATGAATGATTTCTTATAAGTCTAATCTTTTCCTTAACACATCTCTTCCTCAACTTTCTTGGACTGTTTAATTTCAAATATTTACAATTAATAATAGGCCACATTTTTGTTTGCTTTAACAGTTTGAAGTTTGAGCCTCTCAACTACTTACAATTCATATAATACTCCGTGGTTGTGTGTCGTATAACTAGATAAAAAAAAAATATATATATATAGATATATGTATATTCTTAAAAGATTCCCAGAAATCTGTCTTAGCCAACTTTCAAAATCTCTCATCTGTTCAGCATCCGCGACAGCTTTGATACTCGGCAATTCCTCTCGCGGAGCTGGCGGTCTTTCTTTGCGCGAATCTTCAATGGTACCTATCTTCCTCCGAGGAGAACGAATTCTTCCTGATTTCTAGTCGTGATGAGGCAGTCGCAACCGCGCGGGAGCTTTCACCGGCACGTTTTGTGTCGCGCGGGCCCCCCCGATCGGGCTCGCGAAAAATCGTCGAGTGAAAATCGCCAGGGCCCGCGATCCCGGATTGGAGATTGGCGGCGATTTAAGCTCTCCTCGCGATCGGAACGGAGCGCTGGTTGAACGGTACCGTAGGAGGGGGCTCCTACAAAACGGTTTTAGATCGTGCTTTGCGTCACGCGGGGCACGTTGTCCTTTTTTCCCACGATCCCTTTTCTTACGCGCGGCCCCCGTTTTCCCCACCTCGCTTCCGCGCAAGCAAGAAACGAAAGCGGCGATATTTCTGAAATACGTTATTCCGCGGCGGCGTCGACGCTGACCCACATAGGCATTTTTCCAATTCCAGCCGTGGCCGATAGAAAGCCGCACACGGCCGTTTGTAGAAAGTTCTCATATTATTTAGCATTCGGTCGCGCCGCGCCGCGCCGCGCCGCGTCGCGGCGAATGTACACCATCACCGCCGCGCTGGTGAAAATTAGCAAATAATAATTGGGACCCGTTGTTGCAAATCTCTTCCTGTTCCTCCCCCCCTCCCCTATACGTGCCCGTATATGTACGCGATCTTTATTTTCTTTTTTCGTCTGGTACATCGCGCGAGTTTCTCCGCTCCCGTACGCTACAGTACAACATAGGGGTATTTTTTTCCAGGGGAGAAATCTGAAGGGTATTTGCGAGGGAAAATAATGCTGATGAAAATAAATAAGCGGTCCGTGTCAGCGACCCGAAAGTAATGGGCTTGTCTTTCATTTTTATATTTTCCCCTTTTGCAGTATTTCAAGCTTTAAAAAACATCCTGTCTAAAAGCATTAGGTTGTCGTAATGTTTTCGTAATTAATAATTTTTAACTTTGATTGATTCAGACGTAAAAAAGTATGTCCTATAATAAATAAATAAATTGAAGAAGAGTTTTAAATTTATCTCTCTGCATAAATTATTTTATATGATAAAATATTTTGATAGAATCTCAGACATAAATTCAATATACATGTAGATATATGATATATATATATATATATATATATATATATATATATATACAGTTATGTTACAGATTAATATAACTACAGAGCAAATCACTTTCTAAAGAACACGCTCTCTAACTATATCTCAAAATTTTTATATTAAGCTTTTAGTTCAGATATGATTGTGAGGCATTCTCATTTATACAACTCAGTAAATATTTCGCTCTACTTATTTATAAATAAGCAATCAGTTTTTTTTAGTTTTCCTCGGAGAAGCTTACAACGGATTTAACGAGTTTCGCAGTTGCACAAGTCATATTTATCTACACATATCTATCTTTTTTCTGAACTTTTACCTTTAATCTCACTCGTATTCCTCCTTTCGATGCGTTATAAAATTATAAAAATAATATTTTAATATATTTAATATAAAAACATATAGTAATTGCGATAATGATTGAAATAATAATTACGTATGAGAAGGTTTTCGATTACTGAAGCAGGATAATGAGATATTAGAGAAAAATGAATTTGTCCGTTTCGCTTTGTAGACGAGGTTGTCGTCGTTACTGAAAACCGCCGAGGATTTACACATCAAGGGGCTCGCCGAGGTGAGCTGGCGCAGCGATTCCACGCAAAACGACCTAAATAACACCGGCCACAGTCCCGGCACCGGGACGCCCGGCGTGGAGACGGTTTTGCGGGAAGGTGAAACCGAGGATCCACCAGCCCCCAAACAGAGACGCAGAGGTCGTCCGCCTCTGGATGACCCACCGTCGGCACACGACGTCTTCACACCCAAGATCACTTGTATCACCGGGAACGTACGTATCTCTTATCGCTATCACGGGCTAAACGGTCCGTGTAAAGCTTGGTACTGTTGCACCAGCATTTCGCAAATTCGTCCGCAAAAAATCAAAGAAACTAATATTGCCTTATAAAAATGTCTCATATTAATTGTAAGAGTGTAGTTATTATAATAGTTCTTTTAAAATAACTAATAAACTTTTATCTTGAACATATTGTTCTGAACATTGATTCATGACATCAATATAAGATGTTAATCTATAAAATCAAAAAAGTTTTTAGATGTTTAAATACAGACACACTTATACACTGTCATCTTGATTATTATAACTCTAATAAAAAAAAACTCTTAAATAGAAATTCAGAAACCTAACAACTGCATCATGATTCAAAATCTTAGAACTTTCAAATTACGAAACATTTGTATTTCGATGCAAAGACATAAAACAGAACAAACGATTAAGATGTTTACAAGAAGGTGAGAGAGAAAGGAGTAGAATTTGCACTGCAACGATACCGAGCTTTACACGGAACACATAAGATGGACACTTTACGATCGGTTGTCGTGAATGTAAAAATACGATAATTTTGTTAGACTCGCAGCGGCGGGTATAGCACGTATGCGGGGATACCCACGCACGACTCTAATGTGTCACGTCGAACCTTTTCTCAGGAGGAAATGATGAGCGAGGGCGGCGACCATGAGAGTTGGGACGACGAGATGATGATGACGACCGAGAATAACGAAACACCACTGCCGGTGGTAAGGCCAATTATCGTTAGATATGATTCTCCCTGTTCCTCTTCACTTGCAGACGTGAGTGCGCACACATAATTAAATTGAAATCTATTAAAAGAAGTGTCGTTCTACTTTCTCCTATGCATCAACCATCAGATTAGACTACTTCTTTCCACGAATATTCCGTTCAACGATTTTAACTATTGTGCTTTTTTTCTAGCTGTCCTACATGTCCAAGGATGACGCATCTGAAGAAAAGAAAGGTATATATGATCATTCTACAATTACATCTCACACACGTATGGCCTTTCTCCATTCTCAGAAAGTTTTGCCTAGTCTAATTTAGCTTGTCTCTAACTAAACCTGTATATGTTTTATATCTCTATATTTTGTAATTACTTGTATATTTTATTAATACTATTATTGTTATTACAATTTTATACACAAAAAACAATGCAGATTTTATTGTTTTATTTGTACAGGCACTCTATTTATATTTTATTATGCACAATAATAAAAACAATGCATAATACATATATTGAGAAATATTATTTTCTTTAAAATATAAGGCTTGAGCGCGAATAAATGCTGCTGAATCTTTTTTGTTTTAAATATTTTTTGTCACAATACACATAATCGGCATAAAAAAAATGGAACGTTTTTTTAACGATTCCGAATTCTTTTAATGAATTTTGCTAGTCAAGGAAATACGTTTTCCAGAACAATTAATAATGCTTTTGTCTTCCGGAACGTTTGCCTCTTCTATTCTTTTTTAATGTCGATTATAGATACGTCATTCTATAGCAATCGTTGTAAATATTGACTGAATATTAAATTACAGCGCCCAGCACTCCGTCAAATTCTAACGCCACAAATCTGTCGATTCCCGAACAATTCCGAGACGTAATAAAGATGAACGATTACTTGACGACGGGACGCCGACAAGAATTCTGGGAGGAACCTTTTACGCGCCGCGTTATGGACGCCATCAAGAGCAAAGAGCTGGAGATGAAGACCGCCGCTGAAATCCTCGGCGTCTCTTACGGCACTCTCTACGGCAGATACCGCGACAGTTATGGTTGCCTTAAACATCCGTACAGGTAATGGATGCATGTAGATGAAAAATTGCACTTAAGGATCTTAATCCGCGAACATTCCATTCTTTGCATTAGAAAAGTATAAATTAGAGCAAAACTCAAATTGAAATAATTCGTAAGAACAAATTAGAAAAAAATGGTAGTTTTGGGATAATAAATTATTGGGATAATAATACGGATATATATTTTCAGAGTAAGGGATTTTTGGTCTGAGCCGGGCCCCGCGGAAGTGTTGGCGAAATTGCGGCGAAAGGAGATAACATTATTCCGGGCCGCCGAGTTCCTCAATGTCACCGTCCACACACTCGCGACTTATCTGTCAACGCTGCAAGGCCCGGACAGAATTACGTTAGCTGAGAACGTAGCGTCCAGCGGTAGCATCGACAGCGGCAGCAACAACAACGCAACTGAATCGACGACAACGGAGAACAGCGAGTCCGTAAACGACATCCTGCAGAAGATCAACGCGAACGTGGCGACCACGACGTCAATCAAACGCGAGGGCGGCGGCTACATTGAAGTGCCGACGGCAGTGTCGAAGTGTTCCACCACGTCCGTGCTGGAGAACAATCCGGACATCACGATCGTCAAAACGGAGAACATGTTGCGTAAACGCGAATATTCGAAAATGTCTAGCACAGAGAACAACAACGCGAAGCTGATGAGCGGCGGTGCGGTCAGCGAGATCAGCCAGCAGCAGCAACAGCAACAGCAGCAGCAACAGCAGCAACAGCAACAGCAGCAGAAGCTCCCCGACCCGTTATCGTTAAATAACGACAACAGCAAACCCTAACTATTCAGACCCTACTTGACACCTACGGCGAATCACCATCATCCACGCAGCGTAGCGCCAAGCGGAGCCAACTATAGATCCGACCTGCAGTGCCCGCGTAGTTTCTATTCCAACGTGTTTACCCGCTTTCTCACGAATTTTCATTTGAAGTAGATACAAAGAACAAGAGGCAAAAGAGGAGCGACGCTGGACATCGCTGTTCCGCGCACGTCGGATTCCCTTATAGTAGCCTCAGACAATCTCGCGTGCGATTGTTCGCGATTGACGGCGAGCCGTGGCTGCGGCGGGTCGGATAAAGCGAGAACTTGGACGAATCCTGCGAATTCTCCGAATCCTGCGTTCCCGCGCGACCACGGCTTATCGTCGTATTTTTCACGTATTAAGAAGAATATTAACGTCGCGAATTTTCCTAGCGGAGTTAGTATCGAAATTCCTCCTGTTTTAAATTCAAATTAGGCTCGCTTTTGATCAACATAGGTCGATAAGCACGCGTGTGCATACGACCTTGGCCTTTATGAGAAAAAATGAAAAAGCAAAAGAAGCAACAAAAGGGATAAAGCGTATAATAAAAAGTTCAATCGAAGTTCCTTTTGAATAACGATGTAGAGTGTATTATCGCAACAAAGAATGCCTATTTTCTGCCGCATGTGTCTGTATGGTAAAGAGCGACAATATATTCACCACAAGTAGATCCATCATAGTAATACACCACAGAGAGAAATGGAGGAAGGGAGGAAAAGGGGAAAGAAAGAGAGAGAGAGAGAGAGAGAGAGAAATAAAGCTGAATAATGGTCCTTCGACGTAGATATATTCCACGTGCGATCGTCGTTAGGATCGCGTTAGGATCACGTTTCAGTTAATGCCCGTATATAAACTCGAGAATTTAAATCATAAAGCTTGTACTATTGGAAAAGGCGTCCATTCGATATGCGATATACGATACGCGACACAGGAAAATATATATGAAGCGGAAGCAAAACCTGAGAAAGAAGGCGATTGTAGATAGTATTCTCAGCCATTTGTATTTAAAAGAGTATTTAGTGAGATAGAGAGTGAGAGAATGAGAGAGAGAGAGAGAGAGAACGAGAGCGAGTGAGAAAAAATCGCCACTTCAAGTTACACGTGTCCAATAGTAAATCGTTTATGATTTAAAAATATTTTCGTGATGAAAGCCTTAACGTCAGAAACTTGTTTTTTCCACGTTATTGATTTGCTGACAAAATTTATAAGTAAAATATTTGTTTTACATGTGTTACCGATATTTTCTAAAAAACGGTACGTAAAACGGCTAACAATAAGTTTTAAAAGCGCAAAGGCGTTGCGATGGGTAATGATTTTTGCGCGTCTTACAAAAATCGCGCCTTCGCCTTTTTTCCCGAGTATTTGTAACGTGGGGATAGTTAAGTCCCTTAATGGGATAGTCCCTTGTGTACATAATGGAACACGATAATAGCGTATAATAGTGTACACCATTCTATTTTGTTTCTCTTTTATACCGTTATATAATGCTGCACTTAGCAGTGCTTTTTATTTTATAAATGATGTTTATTACTTGTGTATATACGAGATATTTTTTTATTTCTTCTTCTTTTACGAGAAAGTATTTTTAATAACTTTTATTGGAATGATAATCGTCGACTAATATCAAAACATTCGTTAGATAGAGTGCAATATTCGAAAATAATATTATTTGGCATATAATGTACATTAAAAAGAACTAAAAAAGAAATAAAAAATAGAAAGAATTGCTGGTGCAATTATGGATTTTTCTTAAAAAAACGCCATTGAATGATATTTGCAATGAACAATGCCTACGGTAATGCTGTTACGCACTGTATCGTTGTTCCCCCCTATTTATATATAATATAACTCGCGATTCCGTTTAGTTTACTTTTTTCGTAAGCTTTCACAGGCGCGATATTTACGTTAAGTTAGATAAAGAAATGGGGAAACCCAGACAGCGCTCTATATATATATATATAATGTACAATAATCGTACTCCATGAGACATTGACTGGAAATGAGTATTCCTGTTCGAAGGTAAAACTAAGTAAGAATTAGTATAGTAGAGGTATCTCCGATGATATTTTTCGATGATATAAGACTTAAGTTACATTAAAGAGGAGAATTCATTATCGCGGAGGGTACTTGTAAAGTAATCCGAACGAGCGGAGTAATACCGTACGAAGTACGATAAGAAACGAAAGAAGAGAAACGGCTTCCCTTTCGTAGCCGTGGAAATTTCATTGTGACGAGTGCAAGGAGCGTAAAGATTTAAAAGTATCGTGAGGTGTGTAAATATAGCGGTGTACGATATTTACTAGAAACGAAAAATCAAGAGACGCATCGTTTGCTCTTGACACGTGAATGCGGGCATGTATGTACCTCTCTCTTTCTAAACGGACCCCGAAGTCGACTGACTATTAAGGTAAACGAAGAAAAAGAAAATCACAAAAATATAAAAAAAAAAGCGTAACGATAAGCGAGACTCTCGATTAAGTGTGCGGCGCACTCAGATACGAGATACACACAGGCATGCACGTGCAAACACACAGTTGTGGATTCTGCGAGAGAAAGTATTTCCGGCGGACGCGCCGAAGAGACTTATCCGACGAATTAAGTACTTTCTTTAGCCTACTTTGTATATTTAACACGAAATATCGTTTTTTTTTTCGGATGTTGGCAGAGCGAAGTCTTTCGATTACTTTACGAGTGCTCCGGACCGATCATTTTTATCACATGCGTATGTGTATGATTTTATATGCAACAACATCGCACGATCTACGATAATTTTATTTGTAACTCGTAAATTGTAAGAGAGGAAAAGAGAAAGAAAAAAGATAGATCTGTTCATCTTCACCGTTAATTTAATGACTTTCGTCAGATTCATTGTATCTTCTCATCGAAACTTTGTATTAAGTGACGGAGTAACTTCTCCCTTTTTTTCTCTTCTATTTTACTTTCCTTTTTAAAAAAAAAAATAAAATAAGACTAAGACATACCAAATGAGAAATGTAAGGACAAGTTTCGTTAGGTTAGTATCTATCGCATATCATGGAAGCAAAAATACATGCGCTGATACACACTGTATTTGCCTATGGCGTTCGGGTATGTTTATATCTGGGACGCGCGAGACCACTTTTACTCTAGCAAGAGTATACGACTAGAAGTATTAATATTTAATAATAATGATCAATATATATGTATATATTGATACTCGGATGGATGGTCACGTTTTCGAGCGTCGAGCCGTGGAACAAATGAGGAATAATATCAAATCTTGGGATTATTTTTATTTTATTTTTACTATTATTAATGTGTAATTTATATTATTATTATATACTGTTAGTCAAAACTTTTTATGTTTATTATATAAAAATCACGAAATTTTCAACAGAATTTATATGCAGTGGTGATTTTATTTAAAAAAATATATGTATAAGAAGAAAAATATTTATAGACACATTTGAAAACTTGTAAATGTTTTAGAATTTATATAAATTTTCAAATTACATGTATTCGTTCTCTCTATTTTTACCTAAAAATTATTATATATATTATACATGTAATAATTATAATAAATATAATTTACACACTAATCTGAAACATTTACAAATTTCTGACTCTACCTGAATATATACAAATTTTGTTCTCTTTTAACACCGGCGAATTTTCATTCAAGTACAAAGCGCCCACGAATCCAAAATATAGCGTGTCGGCAAGAAGCACGCGTTATGCCAAATTGTGTGCTCAAAGACTGATGACCATTCATTTGGGGGAGATTCTTAATTGTATCATAAAACCACGCGATCGTTTTTTTTTTTTGTTTTTTTTTTTTCGTGAAAGGGGCGAAAGAGAGAGTGCGAGTCAGCGTGAATGCGGTGACCGCGCGATCACATTGTACGAGAAGACAGGACAAGACTATTAGCCTATTGGCAAGCGACGCGCCGTGTGCCCTGGAACGTCGTACCATGAGACTAAAAAAAAAATCAATATCATAACTATGTGTCGTTTGATATAAACGAGTAACGAGTAAATAGTATGTATCATCGTTTTATACACAACCTAATTAAATATCTCTACGTACACTATGTACATTCCTAGTATACACGCTCTTCACTGTCATACACGTTGCATTACACGCGTATAAAGGAGAAGAAAACGCATGGACCTATTATATACATATATAAATATACATATAAATATATATATTTATAATAATTATTATAACTATTCCAAAAACGGACCACCGCGACATCGACGTTTACGGATGATCATTAAATTAAATGCAAGAGAAATTCATCGACGACACTCACGCCGCGCATTAATCGCCATCGTCATTATCATCGCCATTATCATCAACATCGTCATCATCATTATCATCGGTGATAACGTCAAAAGCATTCGCGTATTTCGCGTTGGACAACACGCCCGATTACCGGAGTGTCTCATGTATAACACGCACGAACAGTCAAACCTGTCGACCTGCCTGCAGTGTAAAAAAAAAAAGAAGCATTTCTAACAAACACGTGCACCCCCTTGAGCGCAATAGAGAAAGAAGGAGATAGAGAAAGAGAGAACAAAATATATGAATATAGTTTTACAAAAAGGCTTCGCCTCCGGCCGCCTCCCTTAGTTTTATACTTGAGACACGGAAAAGGCTGAAAAGCGAAAATCAGCCGACGATACTTCGAACGACCTCGATCCTATGTAAAGTTACATTCTTTCACCGATGAACGCGATCATTGTATACATACATTACACACGGACACGTTCGCGGAGACGAAGTACACACACGCGTTTTCTCGAGCTCATTTATCTCTCACAAGACTTTGTACCAATTCTCTCTTCACTTAGTCCCGACATTTCGAAGCTGGCGAGCGCGACAGCGGATACTTACGCGCGGATCGCGCGAGCTTGGAAGAGTTCCGACGTCGCGCTCCGAAAACGTGAAATGTCAGTCTCTTAGCCAAAGCTAGAATTTGCGTTTTTATCTCTTAGTACCTTCTTTCCCCCCCCAATCCCCCGTCCACCCTTCTTCGTCCTTTTCCTCGTTCCCCCTCCACACGACGTATATATTTGACACGTTATCATGATTGCTATTAATTTTAATTATAATTTCTCTGAGGATAGATAGAGATATATATTATATATATATATATACCTTAATAAACGTGGTAAATTTAAGCTTAGAAGAACAATATACCTAGTTGATAGAGTTGAAGTATACATACATAAAAGTGAAGTATATGTATATGTATATATATAAATATATTATATATATATACATATATGTTGATAAAGTAATTATTGAGGTCGTAAATTTATAGAAGTTGGGGTCGAACGCATACAATGCCGTAAAGACGACAACCGGTATATTTACCGTTTAAGAATTATTAAGGCTCGGGTATAGACGGCGAAATATACACACGTATATATACATATAGGCAGCCTCGGTTGCCCAACCGGGGGCTGCGGCTCTCCGCGGAGAATATTCATTGATTGAACAAAAGATGAAGATCAGTAAGTGTAAATGTTTGTAAACAAATTATGAAATTATTTGTTCAGTGCCTACATATTTACACAGTAATAATAAAGATGAAGATTAGTGAAATCACCTGACTTCTTTTCTCTGTCTCGGATCCCCCGAGTCCCCGCCCGCCAAATCTCCAATGTGACTTACCTAGAAGCAAAAAGAAAAGAAACATTGTAATAGTAATATTTAAAAAAAATTCCATATATAATGTTTCTAAATATTTATAAATATTAGCTTGAATGAATTACTGCGAAATTAATTAATATCTAATTCATATATATAGGCAGACGTTCGCGACGTGACAAGAAGTGATAACCAATTATCCCCTTCTGTTATGTATCTGTTATTCCCAAAGAAGTTATCATTAGCTTTATCATTCGTAAACTTTCTTTTCTAATGCTTTAAAAAAACAATACGTCAGATAACATATCACGTTTAAATAACTCTTAAAGGAGTTAAAGGTAATCGACGCCTACAGTAGCAAACACGCATGATGGATTTAGCACCAGCGTCTATTGTCTGTTGTTTCTTCTTCGTCTTGCTCAGCGGGATAACGAAAAACACAATGCTTCGGCAAAAAACAAAAAGGAAAAAAATGTTTACACGGGCCAGCTTTAAATTTACGGTTTAAAGTTTAAAGTTTTCAAGAGAGACTTTTTACATGCGAAAGACGAAACAGAAATATTGCATTAGAAAAGTATTAACAAAATTGTGAGAGAAAGTCAACGAAGCCTTTCAGAAAAAATGGAAACGACAAATAAATATATAATATGTCGTAGCATCGAACGCGTTTGATATAATGTATACGATCGTGTGGGAAATGTCGAAAGACGCCAAAATAAACCGCATGTTCTGCACCGGCATTGAACAATTCGGTCGATCCCGGTAGAATTAAAGGTGCGAATGAAATGTTTGACGTGGACCGTCGCGTCGCTCGTCCCCCGTCGGAATTCGTCCCGTCGATCGACCGATCGCGTTCACCGCGTTATTAGTTATTATATTGACGCGTTGGCTCATCAATATCCCCCTGAGGTACGCGCGCGAGTCGCCGTGCGTCGGGTCTCTTTCCGAGAAACGATGCCGTCGATGCCGAAACATATCTATAGCGGAATCGCCGGAATCTAGCTCCCCTTTATCGTCGTAAGGTCGCGTAAACACGGCGGCTTCGTTTGGAACCGGCGCGACGGTGCCGCTTTGTGTTTTTTCTTCTTTTTTTTTCACGTGCACTACAAAAGACTTTTCTATATAACGTCGCAGCCGAGACGCCAGAGGAGTGAGAGGAGAGGAATCCTCCCCACCCCTTTCTCTACGTCGTAAGAATAGAGAAAGAGAATCTTCATAGCCATAGCGTTGTCTAACAAGCGCCCGCACGCTCGTCGCTCGCAGTCGCACCGGTCGCACGCAGTACGCAGTACGCATCAGTACTCTGTCGGTCGCAGTCAGTAGTGGTCGGTTCCTCGGGGGCGAGACACGTGACACGTGCGTCCGTGCGATTTCCGAAAAAGCTCTCGCGCGAAAGCTCGCATCGAATCTGCTACGGGGCCGTCGCGTCGTAGCGCGACGGATCATGTGCGGCATGTTACCCACACTGGAAGAGAATTCTCTGTTTCCGTTCAATCCCAGTTTGGACGATGAGATTAAACGGCTCTTCGACGTCACCCCCAACAAGAGGCCTATGCCGAAAGGTACGTTTCGCGCCCCTTCTGTCGCCGATTTTCTAAAGTGTAATTATGAAGATTGCCGAGGATCTACGCTGCATTTGCGGGATAACACCGCGATATTTATACGGTTTTGTGGATTAACGCCGTTGGAAAGTTCGTCCTCTCTCGTCGCGTCGTATCTACGCCTATATCGTTTGAGAATCGTGTGATTAAACATTCTTTCAACGTTATTCATGGTTTGCTCTGATTACTAACCGACTTCTGATTTTGTGCTTTTACGGTCTGTCTCTCGGACTTGGTTCTCTTTTAACGTTTTATAGTTTTTGGGGAAGCAAAAAGGGATCCCGAGAAAAAGGATTCCTTTTACCTGTCACGTATAAAGCTCGAAAAACTATAGAGAAAATGAAGGCTTTTACTACGTCTATTTACATCTTACGAATTTATTACATTTATTAACTTTAAATTAACTTATCTTTGTTTTGTACTTTCTTTTTACTTATTTTTGCGTGAGATCTCTTTTAAATTCTACCTGCAGTATTTGCAATGTTTTTATTCCCGGCTTCTCCAATCAATAATGTATGATTATTTCATTTTAAATGTAAAAATAAAAAAAAAATGCTTAAAGACAAAAAAAATACAGCACGAAAGCTGTCAAAGATCGTTTCGGTCGTTTCGGGTGTTAACACTCGAAGAAGATCGTATTTCGCAGATGCATCTTACGATCCTATTCTTTTTCGTTGGGTGCAGAGGCACGTACTTCATAAATCTTCCAAGTGCTCGAAGGATTCTTGAGAATTTACTGTCATTGACCAAAAACCATTCATTACTGTTTAAAAATAATAATATAAAAAATTACTGAACATTCTATCGGTTGGAAGTTTTCTTAAAAGACAAGGAAAAACAAAACTTAAAGCGAGAGTGATCAATTTAAAGTAAGAAAGACTAATGGAAGAAACGATATCGCGAATTTTCCGAAACAAATTGAGAATATTTTTGAATTTTTGAATACCGCCTGTTGAGTGAAATGTGACGTAAAATTAAAGAATATCTACATAAAAACAGCATAATTGAATTTTTTCTCATACAAAAGCCAGATTTGCATGAATTAGGTTTCTCGTGTAAGCAGTAATGTCCAAGCGTAGATATATAACGATAAATTGTTTTATAACTTTCGTCCTATATAACTATCTCATCAAAGTATTTGTTGCTTGATTCATCGTTGGTCCAATCGCATCGACGTATCGGTCGCTTTCACGGAGATTTGAATGCGCGGAGCTTGTATGACGGGAAATGTTCGTTAAAGAAGCGTTACGTTGACTCGATAAGAGATACGGAATCATAACAAACGTAAATCTCCGTTGTCGATTTATTTCCGATTCGTTGACGAAATTTTTTCGGGACTTGTCGCCGCGGTGCAGCAAAGGTTTTCTTCGCGTCGAAGCCGGGCTGCAAGAAGAAAGCCGCGTTTATTTGTTTGTCGATTTGTCTTTTCATGGCACGCACCGATTACAAATTGCCGGCAATTATCCTCTCGCATCTCGCACGTGTGCATCTCTCTCGTCGCATATCGGTCGCTTTGCGAAGTGCCACTTGTGATCGTCCACAAAGAGCGGATATTTTATCGACGAGGAGACAAAAGCCTATTGAGATTCGTGCAGATATGTTTATCCTACGATGCCGATTGCCGACGATGACGACGTGACAACGACGATGATGTGATTACCGTGCTCGATATAAACACTCGAAATCACCCGACCCGAAAACGGCCGTGTGTGTTTACAAACCCGCGCCCTATCGAATTACATACGTTTCTGCGTGCATCACCGAAAAATGATTTCGGTACTGCGACTTCGAAAGGATGTTAAATATTTTATTTTACATAGATTTGATCTGTAGATTTCGTTGCTTGATTATCGCTGCTGTTAGATCTTAATTTTCTCTTGTGTTAAAACTGTAGGAAGAAAAGTTTTTGTTTTTTCTTTCCTCCATTTGTATCTATTAAATTTTTTTAACGATCTTATTAATGCTTTACCGCAGTTGAAGAGATAATGGAAGACTTTCGACACAATGGTCGCGACTTTGAATATTGCCCAGATGTGGACACAGACATGTCGAAACAGACTGCATCACGGCGAAAGAAAAACAAAAAGCCCTTGCCAACGGAGTGCGTGTTCTGCAGAAATAACGGTGAAGAAGAGACGTACTATCGGGAGCACTTGCTGAAAGATGTCGACGGACGTGTTCGGTGTCCTGTTCTCAGGTACGTATTAAAAATCTGATACATTTTTATTTTTTTACTACAGTGTCACAGATGGACGTTTCAAATATTTCGAAATTGAATGTTCTTTCTTTAAATATATCCTCTACAGAGGGTGCTTTTAATCTTTAGTTTCAATTTGTGGGTTCTGTGGAACTTTGTTCTTGACATGGATATTATACCTTATAGATACCCCATAGATATTTCTCATAAGCACAGCTAGATATTCTAGTACAGGCGTTCTACATTTTTCAGTAGAAATATGAAAAACAAAACAAATTAGTGTGAAGAAATCTTCTCTATTTTACTTCTCCGTTTTACTAAGTCCCATAGCACTGGGACACAATGAAACCCTAATTTGGGCGGGACCGTAAATTAGGCTACATTCACCATAGCGTAAACCATTTTACACCATAGAGTACACCATAGGCGTGCCAAAAATAAATAGAAAAAAATGCACAGAAAAGAAAAGCTTTTTTTCAATTAAGACCTCTTTCCCTTTGAGTTTTAACCATATGTTCTTCTATCAATTATACGTTTTTTTTTGTTCTTAATAAAATTTCTCAAAGATATGATCTGTGAATTTCAAAACTATTCTTAATATTTTATAATATCTCTAGTATCGTCATAAATATTTTTCTTTTCTTATTAATTCTGTGCAAGAAAAACGAAGACGATTTTCATCCTACGATACATTTTTTTATCCATAATTATATCCGTATAATTCGCATCTGAATTCATGTAAAGTGATATGTGGTTATGTTGCGAGAGAATACAATAATGATACAGTCGAAATGGTTGCCGTACATTTAAAGAAGAAAAGCACCCATAAAAACCCAAAAAGATATATTGCGTAAAAAAGGGTCTAAAATAAAAAGAAAGGATAAAAAGATTTAAAATTAATAAAATTATTTTTTAAATAATCTCGTATAATAATCACTTTCTTAACGATTTTACTCATAATCGAAAAAATATAAAAGAAAAGTCTTGCTTAAAGTCTTCTTCAGCGGATAATTTCACGAAACATGATATTCGGAATTTGTTTTCTCTCCTTTTTTTAACGTCAAATATCTTGTGTTTATTACATGTTAAAGTATAGAAGATAATATTTTTGATTGGTAGGGCTTATACGTGTCCTATCTGTGGCGCGACCGGTGACGAGGCACACACGGTTAAATACTGTCCGAAGGGACCGTATAATCCCAATACCATAACCACACCAAATGCCTTTAAGCTCTTGAGGAACTCCATGGGCAAACGTCGTAGCAAGTAAGAATTATTGCCACTTTCCACGCAAGCGTGGAACATTTTCTTGCTTTTAGTAATAAATTTTAATTTTTACGAGCAAATTCGTAAATATACACGCGAGTGTATTTCAGTTACATGTCTATGTATAAATTGTACATAGATAATGAACAAATTGTAAATTAATAATGAACAAATTGTAAATGAATAGAAAATGTTCCAATAAATTAAAATATAATTTAGAATAATCTTATATGTATTATAGTTTCGATTAAGAAAGTATAAAATCCCCCAAACGAAAGTAAACTCCTTTTTTACATTAGAATTTTTACATTTTTATATTATTCTTTTAAGTATATTAAAATTTATTACATAATTATTGCGTGCATATTTCTTGCAACGCGTTGAATTTTCAATGATTAAAAGATATAAATAAAAAAATTATCCGCGAATATTCCTGCGTTAATAGACTTTTTCACGCATTTTTGAAAAAATATCAAAGCTCAACTATTGTGAAATGAAAGAAATGTTAGATTTAAATTTATATTGTGTATATATGTAGTACAAACGGAAGAGAATAATTAATTCATTTTATGATTATTGTTAATTATTGAACATTATTATCTTGAAAACTTGTGCGATATACCATTTCTTTCGTCTCTTAGTACGTTGTCTTGTCTCGTTTAACAAAAATAAGTATAAATAAATTTTGGACATAATGATATGTTCTAGGCGAGAATTTTATTAGGAAGAAGTCCGAAACAAGCTATCTTTCGCATGTCGATATCAACTGGTAATAGAGGCTATCCCCGCATTCGTCCAAGTACCAACAAGTCAATCTAGTTCTCTAGGTTATCGTATACAATGTTTCTCTTCTCGTACTTGACATTTACATTTGTCTGTAAACGTGAATACTGACAACCGACGTGATCTCGCACCCTCACGAATACGCTGTAACACTGGTTCTAAATCGAGATCGAAATTTGACTTTATTAGTTGTTTCGCTATCTCGCATTTTTTTTATTTTTATATCCTTTATATCTTTAACATAACCCGTGATGTAATCTACTTCTTGCATTCTTCCTATTTGCAGTCTAATTTATAATGCAAAAATTGCACTGATAAAATGAATGTCGATTTAGAACGAAAGCTGTGTATCTCGAGAGTCGCATGATTGAGTCGATTCAGCGATTATATATACATTGTGTTTATTGCGACATGTCTTTAAGGGTTAATCGCGATTTTTGTTTGAATGATAGAAACGTGTAGAGATTAAACGTATAGAGGGAAATATTATACCAACTCGGTTTAGGTATTACGTCCTCGACAGGCAACAATTTTTTCAAGATATTTAATATCTTAATTGCGATATTTAATATCCGATTGTTTGTTAGACGATTATGCAGAAACGTATTTGGACACTTTCGTGATTTCTTAGATAAGGAGACTGCATTCCAAAGATTCTCAGTACAAGTCTGAACGGTCTGCGATAAGAACAGGGTAGATTTATAAATCGCCAGATCCATTTTTAAGTATTTACGGATTTATATTTGAAAAGGGCTACACGAGTTATGAACGTATCACATTTTGGACATAACTCACATTTATATTCCATTTATGACATCCTACTGTTGGATTTTATTTGTCGAGAATATCAATACGATGATTGACGTGATTCAGCGTAAGAGAAACTCGTTAGAACTTATATTTTGGACGTATATGAAAATATGGTTTGGCACTTCCGTTAACTTTTGAAGAACTCGATATTTTTGACCGTGTATTCTATGACCGGATATAATTCATCAAGGAATATAGGATTGCATTCCTTTCTGTGCAATGCAGCATTTACAATACCGACAGCTTGACTTCGGAGACGTATTCGAACGAAAATCTTGTACAAAATTTATTCATTGCACGCATACAGATGAGAAAGAAAATCACGTTTCTTAATTTGCTTTGACATTCGAAATGACAATGATTTTTTAAAGAGAAAAAAGAAATCTTATAGCCTAGACATTTTAGTCTCAGCATTAGTCTCTTATTTTCCATTTGAAAATTTATTTCCTCGTAGCACAAAACTTTTGCAATCAGGACACACGCACATCTTTATTTTTATTTATTTTTATTTATTTTTCATTACGGCGTTCAGCGGAACGTTTCGTGACAATTGTGTGATTTACGTCATGATTGCATCTTACTTCGCGAATTGTTATTAAAATTATTAATTTTCAATATATATATATATATATGTATACATATTATATTACTAGTTCCTCAAATAAGAGTTGTGATGATAACATGTGCTTTAACGAAATGTTCAATTTTTATATTTTATGATATATGGTATAAGAAATATAAGAGTTTTTGACATATATATATATATATATATATATATATATATATATATATACATATATATAGATATATTTATAGATAGATAGATATACACATGTATAAGAAAGTTATACCAATGTACGAGAGATAACTATGCGCATAATTTAAATCCGTGCACTTTCGCGACAGTTTTGAAATCTATATTGCGGAAACGTGAGACTATCTGCCGATATCAAACGTTTCGACTGGAGACATGAAAGTGACCGTTTGCTCTTACTTCAACAATGATATTAATTTGAACACATCTTGTAGCGTTACAGGATGTATAAATTTTATGTACGCATGAGTTACCGTCTTTCATGTCAACGTTTGGTTCGTGGAAGCGTGTCTTTTGCGTGATATCCTATGCCTCTTCCTCACAAGTCCGTAACCCATAATCATGCCTACAATTTTTATACCGTTTTGTGAATATGAATAATATTTTATTTATCCCGTCCCTCTTTCCTCTCATTCATCTATTGTTATAAAACTTATTCTCAATTCCATACGTTGTTACGAGCTATTGACATATTCAGAGTGAATATTAGGTCGAAGAGAGAGGAAGAGAAGAGTGTTGTCACTGTCAGTTTCACCACGATATTGTCAAGGCCGTCAAACCAAAAGCTTTGCTGCTTAGGACCGCGCTTTCCCGTGTTTGTATACGCAGCTGGCTTTCGCTTCGCGGATTTGACAGTTCGTGGAAGGCGTATGGTTTTTTCCCAGTCGACGCTTTCCGATGTTCCTCAAAATTCACTAAAGGACACGTTTTGCTTTCATATCGTTGTCATATACA